TACTGGGGCGTTAACTCATGACCCTCCAGGAAATCCCTTATATGGACAAAGGCATCGCTATTATAGCTGTAACTGAATAAACAGAACATATAAACATTTTGAATGATAAAAAAAAGACAATAAACACTCGACTGCGACAATATTTAATTTAAGTATGTTTAGCTTAGTTAACGGAAGGCTACCTGCTGCCATCAGAGCAAGTGTAATTGCTGATCCTCGGATGCTCTCATTTCCCGAGTTGTGCTTTTAAGTCGGAATGTGAAAACAACATGGACACTCTCGTTACTACCAAGATTTGTTGGATTTGTAGTATTAGAGCTTTCCAACTTGAGTTCACGTGCATTTTCTCAGTCAGGAAAGTATTTTTCACGTGCGGTGCCACTGATGATGATGCTTACATCCGTTTCGGAGAACCAGAGGACAAATATTTCAATCGATCGCTCAGGCATGGCACTGAAATGTGTGTTCTGATTCGGTTCTAGTACATACCGATTACATAGGTACTGGTGCCATATTGGTACTGGGTTTCGGTACCCAACCCTAGTTATTAGATAAACTGTTGTCAGTCATGTTGTCAATTAAAATCCAAACATTATTGCTAATGTTAATGTTTTAGTGTTTATGAAAACAAAAAGTCAAATTGTATTTGTTGTTTGCTGATTTTAAATATAAAACTTGGTGAAACTATTTATGTGTCAGTAGTTTTTGAACATTTCCAGCACATTTTAACAATACCGTGATAATACCGTGATCATATTGGTCACTATAATCATGATAAGAAATTTTCATACCATTATATCTCTAGTATATATTCTAGTTATTCCAGCTGCGTTTCTCTGATTCCAGTCATTGAGTTTCTCTTGACACTGGTTTTATTCTGTTTGTCCCTGTGTAGAGTATCGTGTTGTGTTGTCCCAGCGCTCTGGTCTGGCACTACTCTCTGACAGATAGCCGTAATAAGACCGGCTCGCCATTAGACCTCTTGCCAATCGCGCCCTCTAACCTGCCCATGCCGGGGGGCAACAGCAGCTTTAACCAGCAGGTTTGACTTCTTGATTTTACATGATCTGATCTACTGGCACTTCATCTGATCACAGCACTTTATCTAAAGGAATGTGATGTTTCTCAGGTTCGTGCCAAGGTGAGGGAGATTGAAGAGCAGATCAAAGAGAGAGGACAGGCGGTGGAGTTTCGCTGGTCTTTCGATAAGTGTCAGGAGACGACAGCAGGTGGGCATGCATGAGCTCTTCAGCATCTCAGTATGGACAGGACTTGTTTTATCCTGGTTAAGCCTGTGTAATATATCATCTGTGGTATGTCCGATAGGTTTCACCATCAGCCGGGTTCTGCATACGCTGGAGGTTTTGGATAACCACAGCTTTGAGAAGTCTGACTTCAGCAATTCTCTGGATTCGCTGTATAACCGGATCTTTGGCTCGGGACAGAGCAAAGATGGACACGAGGTACAGACAATTGTGTTTTTGATTTGTTGTTATGGGGTTTCACTGATTTTTTTTTTTTATTAATAAGAAGTGAAATTAATAAGAAATTAAATTCATCAGAAGTGACAGTAAAGACATTCATGTTACAGAAGATTCCAATTTCAAATAAATGTTTTTTTTTTCTGTTCATCAAAGAATCCTGAAAAAATATCTCACGGTTTCCAGCTCAACTGTTTTAAGCATTGATAAAAATAAGACATTTTTTTTGAGCAGCAAATCAGCATATTAGAAAACAGTTATTTGAAATCGTAATAATATTTCACAGTTGTACTGTTTTTACTGTATTTGTATTATCAAAAAAACATGTGAACACGGCAATCACGCTCGGATCCGCGCCAAAACAATCGGTCCAAGATCGCCTGAACGAGGTGGTCTCGGCTCTATTGAAAACGAACTCTGGAGCGGTTCGGTTGTAGTGAGAAAGCAATCCAATCTAACAGACCAACGAACCAGGCTATATCACAATGTATGATTGGTAATTACGTAAGTTGGTGGTCTCGGCTCTATTGAAAACTAACTCTGGAGCGGTTCGGTTGTAGTGAGAAAGCAATCCAATCTAACAGACCAACGAACCAGGCTATATCACAATGGACTCCTGCTCAAAGTGATAAATTAATATAACGACAGCTACAAAAAAACAACAACAATAAGCCCGTGAAGCTGCTATCGTTGCATCCTGACGGATGACAGCCGCGACAGCGAAGTGGAATCCCAGAAAATAAACCGTTGAACTTTGACCAATGAGAGAACAGTTTACTCGCGAGTGACTTGTATGAACAAATTTGGTCCGTTTAGAAACATTGCCGTGTGAAAGCGAACCGCACCAAGAATAAAAAGCAACATTGTAATAATTTTAATCCCTGTTTCG